CTATTAATTATTATACGGAAGAAGTGTAGTTGATGTCTTAATTAACAACAACAACAACAACTACATTAACAATAACTACATCAACAACAATCCACAACAAACAACAGCAACATCAATAGCAACAACAACAGCAATCTAAACAAGAACATCAACAAGAACACCAATAACAACAACAACAACATCAACAACGTCAACTACATCAACAACAGCATCTGCAACAACAACATCAACAACAACAACAAAAACAACGACAACATCACACAAAATATTGAACCTAAGTTCATGACACAGTTATGCATGCGAACAAATACAGACTTTTTAAACGACGGTTTAATAAATAGCCATAATAAATCTACTATAATAAAATAATTATTTTTATTATTGTTAGTAATTATGTTAAAGTTATTATTATTATTATTATTATGGCTGTTATTATTGCCACTCTGACAGAAATTCCAAAAATAAAATTTATGCTGATGACCAGACATAAAAATAAATTAGCTGGAGACGTAATTTTTGGTGGCGGAGTTATTAATAAATATTATGATATATTATGATGAATAATAACATCACACACACACACACACACACACACACACACACACACACACACACACACGTACACACACAGACAAACACACACAAACACACACACACGAGATTTTAATTATTAATGAATAATCTTGTTGAGTGATATGATTATGAGCGCGGGTTCAAATGCATATTCATCCAAGTCACAAACTACGTGTTATGTGGTCTGCCTTAGGGCATTGCTTTGCCCTTGAATGTATGTGTGAATGTATGTGTGTATGTATGGATGTGTGTGTGTGTATGTATGCATGTTTGAGAGAGAGTGAGAGAGTGAGAGAAAGAGAGAGAGAGAGAGAGAGAGAGAGGGAGAGAGAGAGAGAGATTTTAAAATACGTGTTAACCTTAAAATTTTAAAAATAATAATAGCTGTTGTGATGTATGCATGTTTGTTTGATTATTTCAATGTATGTTTGTATGTCTGTTTGTTTGTATGTATGTATTTAAAGGTAAAGAGAGAGAGAGAAAATGGAAGAGAGAGAGTTCAATTAAAAGGACAAAGACAAAAAGAGAAGATGAAAGAGAGAATGAGAGAGAGAGAGTGAGAGAAAAAAAAATGGGAGGATGTATAGAATCATCAATGAACGATTGCTTTGTAAACAAAAAGCCAAACATCTCAATAAATAATCACACACATGCACACACACACACGCACACACACACACACACACGCACACACACACGCACACACAAAGAGAGACAGACACACGCACACGCACACGTACAAACATTTTGCGATATCCTTATTCAACGCATTTCAATACAGAACAGCATCTTATCCAAGCACACATGAACAAACACACACACCCACAAACACACACACACACACAGACATACATACATACACACACACTCACAAACACAAACATTTAAACCAAACATACAAAACAATCCAAACAATCAATACGATGCAAAACAGCATCAAATGCAAAACAATATGACCACCAAATAAACCAACTCAACTTACGTAACCACCAAAGGAACCTAAGGGTGCCTCTGAATGAAGATACAAGATGAAAGTGATAGAATGGACACTCAGTCTAGATCGATGTTAATCATTAGCAAGTGCTCTATTGATTTTACCTTCTTAAAATTAAGACAAACTCGAAGGAACCTTGAATTTAAAGAAATCTTAAAAACTCAAAGTCTAGCAGTTTATTTTCTTATTTAAATTACTTTAACACAACTAAACGAATGATTGAATTAGTGATTTGATAATTGGCGATTGAATGAATGATTTATTGATTTATTGATCGATCAATCGATCGATCGATTGGCTGGTTGGTTGATCGATTGATTGATTGATTGATTGATCGATTGATCGATTGATTGATTGATTGATTGATTGATTGATTGATTGATTGATTGATTGATTGATTGATTGATTGATTGATTGATTGATTGATTGATTGATTGATTGATTGATTGATTGATTGATTGATTGATTGATTGATTTAAACATATATATATGCAACTTTAACTATGTTTGAAAAAAATTTTTTGACATCATTGCCATTATTTAATTAGAAAGGCATTCGAGCGTTGAAATAGCAATTAGTGAGCGCCGAAATCCATTTTGAATCATGACAAAAATCTCCTATTATCGCCCAAATAAATTATCAAAAAAATCCTAAAATCATTATTAAAATAAAAATTAAAAAATCAGTGAATGAATATTAACCTATAATAATAATAATAATAACGATGATGGATTTCAATGAATCGATTTTAACAATTTCAAGATGATATAGTGATATTGTAGTTTTAATAGCATCAACGCATGTTTGCACGTGTGTGTGTGTACGTGTGTGTATGTGTGTTTGTATATGTGTGTGTACGTGGTGTGTGTGTGGTACGTGGTGTGTGTGTTTGTGTGTGTGTGTGTGTGTGTGTGTGCCAGACAGACAGACTCATGGTAAAAAAACCAAATAAATAAATGTTATAAGCCATTGAAATGGTTATTGTTTTTTTTATTCTGTTCACGAACTATTTATTTATACAAAAAATAATTCTAAAATTGATAAAAATTGCAATAAATAATAATAATAATAATAATAACGATTATAATAAATAAATAAATAAATAAGTTTATTTAGATTATGTAAGAATCAGTTGAAATATTTTTGTTTGTTCATATATATGTTCAATATTTACACTTAAAAAATCAGTGATGTGACTTGCTTTTGTCGTAAATCTTATTATTATTGTTGTTTTTGTTGTTTTGAATTAAAAGATGAGAATTTGTATAAAATAAAATGTTGAATAACTGTATGTGTGTGTTTTTGTATTTGTGTGTGTGAGAGAGAGTGAGTTTTTTAAGTGTGTGATTGAGTGTGTTATTGTATGTGTGTGTGTGTTTTTGTATGTATGTGTGCGTGTGAACTATTAACTTGAAATAGCACAAACATTTGTCATAATTTTTTTTCATTGAATGCCTGAAATAATCCGCTGCTACATTCACGACCCGTCTGTTATGAAGGCGACAAAAATTGTACAATAACAACTTCATAACACACCCAGACACAGACACTCAAACACACACACAAACAAACACATACACACAAACACACACACACGCTTGTTCGTAATGACGTGGCTTACTGGCTTAACTAAGAATCTCTTGGCATTCCCCTATGAATCCGACTTCAATTCCACTAAACAGTATCAATGAAAACTCAACAATTAAATTATTAGATAATATTTTTTCTGCTATTGTTACTGGCATCGAATTTAAAAACCATAGAATCGCCTATATCTATGTTGAAATTTCTTTAAAAATCTCGTTAAATCAACAGCAGTAGTATTAGCTGTAGTAACATCATCAGCAGCAAAAGCAGTTTCTGTAGCAACCTCTGCCGCATTAGCTGTAATTTTTTATGAGTTCTCGATGTTCAGTCATTTTTTATAGCCCCAAACGTCACAAAACTTTATTTGTTGCAGACTGTTTACAACAAAATCAGTAAGAGGACGTGGCTAATGTAAAGTTTTAATTACGCTGTAATAATGTTATACAAAACGGGTGTCGAATTTTTTGGTTTTGTGTGTATGTAATCATCATGATAATGAATTAAAATATTATTTATTTGTTTGTTTTTTGTTGATTCATTCATTAACTCGTTCATTTATTCATTCATTGATGATGATGACGACCGCAACTATGATTGACCGATAATTATTTAAGAAAGAATGACAATTATAATGATTATAATGTTATATATATATACAGAGAGAGAGAGAGAGAGAGAGAGAGAGAGAGAGAGAGAGAGAGAGAGAGAGAAAGAGAGAGAGAGAGAGAAAGAGAAAGAATGAGAGGGAGGGAGAGAGAGAGAGGAAAAATTCTTTTCATCTATCTTTTCTTCAGTCAGTGTCTTTCAATGCTTTTTAAATATTGTTTAATCTGCCAAAAATCAATGAATGGTTACATTAAATAATAACATTAACAACAATAATAATAACAACAGTAATTTTAATAATAACGATAACAATAAGAACAATTTCAATATTAACAATAATGAAAATAACAAAAGTTATAATCAGTCTTACCATTGCTAACCTCTGATAGTTCTCATAAACCATTCTTTCTAAAAAATTGTAGTTTTTGTCATTGTTAATGTCATTATTCTTCTTCTTATTGTTATTATTGTTATTATTATTAGTGATGTGCTGGCCAACGTCGTAGAGTAACTCTTGGACGTTCAGAATTCTTATTGCGATAGCAATGTAAGAGGCAGATAGGATCACTATCCTGTATTATTATTATTATTATTACGACTGCTGTTGCAGCTACAACTCCAGCCACTACTACAGCTGCTACTACCACAGCTGCTACTACTACAGCTGCTACTATTACTGCTACTAATATTAATACGTAATGAATATAAAATTAGCAGCTTTACTTACATTATGAATGAAAAAGCGAAGTAACTCTTCGTACTAATTGTTCTGAAATTAACAATAAAATGTTAAAATAAATTAATTGGAATAAATTAACCAATTAATAATTAGTTCAGTCCGTAGAACCGGACATAGAAAATTCTTTATGCGCTGCGACCAGCTTCGAATGCTATCTGATCCAAACTCAAAAGACTGTCATTCATACGCCATACAATTAATGAACTATTCTAGCGATAATAACATCAAAATTATTTTTGTTACAAATAATATTAACAATAATAAATAATAAATAAATAATAATAAATAATCCCATTAAATAAATTGATAGACTGACTTACTTCAACTGATGTGAAACCATCATTCATAAAATTCTAATAGATTCCTTCCATCCATCTGTAATATTTCATAATGGGGTGAAAACGATTCATCAATTGAGCGCTTCAAAAATGAATAAAATGCCAAATAATAATAATGATGATAATAATAACAAATAATAATAATAACAAGTATAATAATAATGATTTATCGGGCTAACACTTAAAAACTCTAACAGCCTAAGACAAATCACTGTTTAAAAATGTTACACACACACACATAAATATATATATATATACATACACACACACACATATATATATATATACCTACATACACATATAGGAAGAGAGAGAGAGAGAGACTTGTTTGCAGTTTACAAACAACTCTTTACGTATCTATTAGTGTTGCTAGGCGACAGTCAAACAAATTATTATTTTTATTATTACAGCTATCGTTGCAGTTGTTATTAGCATTATCATTCATTGAGTTTTTCATCTTATAAGCTTCAATTGATGCTGTTGTTATTGGTATAATTGTTATTGCTAACTGGACTAAGCTAAAGTTCATATGATACAAACATTTGTTGTGACAGATAGAATGAATGAATGTACGTGTGTGTGTGTGCGTGCGTGAGGGAACGAATGAATGTATGTGTAAAATGTATATATATATTTTTACAATATTCTATAAATTCTACCGAATGTTTGGAATTAATACGTTATATAATAGCAAACATTCGGTAGAATTTATAGAATATTGTAAAAATTATGGTCTATTACCAACATATATATATATTTATATAAATGGACAATACGTGCATACAGACACTAAGTACTTTGGTAACTATTAACACAGTATACCTATGTTACTCAATGGTTATTTATTCATTTACCTAACTGAGTTTGTGTGTGTGTGTGTGAGCAAAATAAAAAAATGACCTTTTGACCATTTTCTGGCCTTAAAAAAGCAAAAATTATAAACCAACATCTCTAGAATAAACAATTTATGAAAAAAATTTATTTCTAAAATTAAAAAAGCTTAAAATCTTTTATCATGAAAAGCAAAAAACAAAACGAAAAATTTACACACACACACACACACACACACACACACACACACACACACACACACAAACACACACACACACACACAGACACTAACACTCACAAAATAATCACGTACATACAAAACGAGATACAAGATCCTTTAAAAAACAACTGAATTTAACCTAATCGCAATGTAATAACACATATACATCAACAACAACATCAATAAACAATAACATGAATAATAATAAAATAAATATCAATTTATCTACTAAATATAAATATACGGCATAAATAGCATATACAAATGTTCTCAATAGCAATGCTTGCCAGTAACAAATTTCTTTTTATGTTCTTACAATGGAAATCATTTCGTTCGTATCATTTGTTAGCTCAATGTATATAAACTAACAACCAACTGCTCCACTAATTAACATAAAATATGTTAATCTGTAGTACTAATTAGTAATTAGACCAATTAGTTGCTAATTAGTAACTATACCAACTCCAAAATAAGAAAAGTTACTCTACTAGTTGACAAAAAAATCTGTAAACTGGTAATTAATTATATTAACTAATTAACAATAAACTATCAAATTACTAATTAGCATAAAATATGTTAATTAGTATCCCATATTTTTAATTTATTCAGTTTGCCATTCTTTGAAGAAGTCATTTCCTTTGTCGTCGACCACGATGAAAGCTGGGAAATCTTCCACTTCAACACGCCATATGGCTTCCATGCCTTTGAAATTGTGCACAATATTGATAAATATTCATGAATGAATTATTAAATTTATGAATATTTATAAATGATAATGAGATGAGGCACCAAAAATAATCAGTCCAAACAATGTCGCCCCTTACTAAACGATAATAATAGTATGCAGGAACATCAAAAGCTTTCACTAATTACCTAATTCTGGATACTCGAGAACGTCCACTTTCTTGATGCAGTTCTGAGCCAAGATGGCGGCTGGACCCCCAATACTACCGAGGTAGAAACCTCCGTGTCTCTTACAAGCCTCTGTAACCTAATTGGAAAGAGATTTGATATATGATAGCTAGAGGTAAATTGACTGAATGGTTGCAGTTGGTTGGTTTCATCTAGCAGCCACTGGAATCAAATGCAAAGAGTTTATTCACACAGACAACCCCACAAGAACAACAACAAAATCACAAGCCAGCCAGCCAGCCAGTCAGCCAGTCTGCCTGCCGGCCAGCAAACGATGACGACAACGACAAACTTGCTTGCTTCTATTTCCTTTAGCCAGCATGACCATACTTCCGCCATTGGCCTGGAACAGGTCAACATAGGAATCCATACGCCCCGCTGTGGTCGGCCCAAATGACCCACTGGCATAGCCCTGAAGGAGATGGAGGGAAGATGAGGATGAAGAAGATGAAAATGAAAATTACGACTAAAGAAAACGTTAAAACTGAACAAACAATATAATGATACATGTAAGTGTGACTACAAGCTGTAAAAGATACCTCAAAATTACTTATTTTTATTAGTAGGACGGTCGAAGTTTCAAAAAAATAGACACTCACGCATACAATAACCCATACTGACAACCAGGTTCAAAGCGAGCATCGCATACATGCATGCATGCAGATCTACACAGGCAGACTAACATCAGGAGTTTTGGCGGGCCCAGCGTAATAGACAGGATGGTTCTTAATATAGTCTGGCAGACCCTGGCCACTGTCCAAACGTTCCTTCAATTTAGCATGGGCTATGTCCCGACCAACGACTAAGGTGCCTGTCAAACTCAGGCGAGTTCTTACGGGGTGCTTTTTTAACTCCGAGAGAACGTCTTTCATTGGACGGTTCAGGTTGACCTGAGATAATGATGTGATGATGATTGCAGTGGTGAAGTAAATTTTTATTAATTTTTATAAATAACAACAACAACATCAACAACAACAACAACATCAACAACAACAACATCAACAACAACAACACCAAGAACAACAACAACAAACCTTAACAACGTCACCACCAAGCTGATCCGATGTAACATCAGGCAGAAACTTGGCAGGATTCGTCTCCAACTGCTCCAAGAAGACACCGTCCTTGTTTATCTTGCCATACAACTTGAAATTTTATACAAAATAATTTTATATTATCAAATAAACAACAATAATGATAAGAAGAAGAAAAATAAACCAAACAAACCAGCCAGTTAGTCAGCCAACCAACCAACCTGCCTATCAGCTGAGCAAGACACACCCAGACCAACAGGACATGAGGCGCCATGCCTAGGCAGCCTAACAACTCTGACGTCATGGCAGAAATATTTCCCGCCAAATTGTGCCCCAATTCCTAACTTCCGGGTCAACTCGAGGATTTTTGCCTCCATCTCTAGATCTCTGAACCCTCTGCCATGTTCATTGCCTTTGTGTTTTTTTCAGTATGTGTTTATGAATAAGTGTAGTGCAGAATAATTTGATCAGTCATCCCTTCTCTATACGGATATATGCATACATACATACATAAATACATACATACATACGTACGTACGTACATACACATACATACAAACATACATACAGTCATACATACATGCATACAACTACAGTCACCCATCCATCCATCCATCATTCCACTAATTAACTGACCGGTAGTAGGAAGGTTATCCAGGTAGTGAGTTGATGCTAACTTAACCGTCTTGAGGTTGAACTCTGCAGAGGTGCCTCCAACAACGAGGGCCAGATGATATGGAGGGCAAGCGGCAGTCCCCAAGGTCTGCCGAAAATTAGAGACGTAAAAAGCGTCAGTATAAAATGATGTACCGTTAATGGTAGAAGTAAAAAAGTGAAAATAAAAAACAGACAACTTATAGCATGACAATACAAAAACATGCCTTGATCTTATCGTTGACAAAAGCCAACAATTTTTCAGGTGTCAGGAGAGCCTTAGTCTGCTGGTAGAGGTAGGATTTGTTAGCAGAACCGCCACCCTTCGCTATGAACAGAAAGTTGTATTCATTGCCAGGAACAGAGTATATCTCAATTTGAGATGGTAAGTTTGTGCCTGTGTTTTTCTCTAGGAACATATCTATAGGCGCTACCTAGTATTAAAAGAGGGAATGTGAGTTTTGTTAAGTTTTAAGGTTAAGTTTTGTTGTATCTGTTGTTTGTGTAAATGTATGTGTGTGTGTATGTGTGTGTGATTGTCTCCTGTCAAATGTGTGCGTGCGTGCGTGTGTTATTTCATGTAAAATTTTTAAATTTAATAAAATGATAATAACAACAGTCAGTGAAATCCTTTTTAAAAAATGTAGAAATACCAAAAAAAACAACAACAGATGAATGAATGAATGAATACCAGGCACCTGAGAATACCTAAGATTGTGTTTGGTATAAGTGTTGTAAACTCCTCTTGAGAGTGCCTCTTCATCTCTACCATCCACCCACACATATTGGCCCTTTTTGCCTGGATATAAATTGAAAAAATTCTTACCTAGGAAGTCAAGAGAAATTTTATTTAATATCTAAAATTAAGTCAAGAGAAAATTTATTTAACATCTAAAATTAAAATAATGCTGTGAATATGAAATATTAATGTATAAAACCATCCCCCACTGACTAAGCCATCATCAATATAACTAACTGACCCATGCAAATGGCAGTCCCAGTATCTTGACAGCCAGGCAGCACCATTCCAGAAGCGATGTTTGCATTTTTCAGCAACTCAAGGGCCACAAACTTATCATTGCTAGAAGCTTCTGGGTCATTGAAGATTTTCGATAGAGACTGTTTTTTGGCAATAATTACGTTATAATATATTTTATAATTATTTTAATTATATTATAACCAAATGATAATTGAAATACAATACAACATAATATAAATACCACACAATACAACACCATATGGTACAAACCTCCAGATGAGAAGATCGTAAAAGGTGGGCCACGTCGAAGAATGCATTTTGGGCTAGGAGGGTTAGGGCTTCGGGTTTTACCTGAAGAATTTGCTTGCCTTGTACATCGATAGTCGAAACAAAGTCACCTATAAATAGTAAGTCATATTTTTCATTCAATGTGTTACAGTTTATAATGTAAAATGTAAATAAACTCAATTAATTAAATAAACATACAATATTTTTAAAAAATAACAAACAAACAAAATTAGCTTTTCAAATATAAATTAGCTTTCCCAAGATGAAATAGAGCAAAGATATACCAGTCAACTTCTTCCACTCAACATTTGGCTTCTTCTCCTGTTGCAAAATGTCCTGGAAGACAAATGGCTTGACAGGGGCTGCAGCCATTCCTCTACTGGTCTGCCTAATCAGGTTCGATCTACTGAATGATTTCAGTAGACCCAGGCTTCCTTTTTTCATCATTTTCTTTAGGAAAAATAGTTTCAAAAGATAGATTTTAATTAAATTTTAGGTATTCCTACTATTTATATATAAATATATATATCACTGAACAATTTCTTTTCAGTGTAAGTTTTTAAAATTTTCTCCAAGCTAAATTCTAATAAAATAACAATGTCAAACAACTGAAATTACTGAAAAATTATAAAATAAATGATTTCAAAATGTAAGTAAATGTAAAAAAAATGTCTTTACTGTTTATTCTTATCTTAATAACATCAAATTCTTTATTGAGTTGGAACATGTGACAGCTTAAAACGGCGTGTTGTCCAACTACAACAAGACTTATGTTTAATTTTAAAAATTGGGAAGATTTCTTTTTCTATAGCTGATCCAGATGTCAATTTTCCCCTAAAATCTATTTTGATCTTGATCCGTTTTTCAGGGTTAAATAAATTTAAGGACAAAATATATTTTGTGGACATTTTTTTAATTGTTAAAAAAACAAATATAGTGTAAAAAAATAAATAAAATAATTAAAAATAAACCTTTTTGATTGAAATTGACAGAAAAAGAAAATAAATTAAATTTAAAATCCCGAAATCGCAACGACTTTAGCTCGAATGTTTAAATACAGACAGATGAGTCGAGCAATTTGGTCCGGCTGTTTGGCTTTCTTTACATAAGTTTGCTTACTAGAATTGAGCTATAGTCGCAATTTATTTGGCTTATTCAGTTGATCTCGTTTTTGGTCAAGTTTTTATTAAAGTATTTTTCAATAAAAAAACATTTTCATAGGTACCATTTATTGGAAAGCTTCCTCGCCGCGTCATGACATGCCCACATGATAATACACCAAAATACACAGATCGGACTTGTTAAGACATCAAGTTAAACTCCTCAAAGTTTCTACTTCACTTAAGTTTAGCTTAAAAACTATCTTGTTAAAAAAGTTTAAAAGTTTCCTTAAATGGTTCCGTCCTTATTACGCCAGATTTCAGCTGTCAGTCGTCAAAAGTAATGCTCCTTTGGAGATCTTGTCATTAGAGAGTTAATTTTTCCATTGTTTGCATTAAAAGTTGTAACTTGCCTGCAGAGAAGATCCTTTGCTTTTTTCAATTTTCATTTGATATTTCGATTTCATTCACTAATTTCAAATTTGACTAATTTCTATTTTGCAAATTCAATAAGAAAGGGACTGACTAACACTCTACAATTTTTTTCAAACAGATATTCTTGGCAGTCTTTTTCTGTCTACAGATTTTTCTACAAAAATTTGAAAACTGGCAGGACTTCATTTAATAATGAAAATAATAATACCTCTGATTCCAAAGTCATCAAAGTTACATATCCAATGGTAAGTAAGTACATGTTTCATAATAATTAATTAATATGATCATAATATTTATAATAATTATTATTTTAATTATACCTTAAATATAAAAATAAGGCTTTTTTTAATGTGCCAGTGTTGTTTTTTAAGATATACAATTTATTCCAGAATGAATTTTTTTCAAAAATAATTATTCATTTAGTAAATTTAACAAAAATATTACATGCAAACCAAAGAGTGAGAACAACAAATATCGAGCTACAGTCACAGATGTCTATCAGTTATCAAAAACAGTAAAAGGCTTAAAGTTGAAGGTCCATGATAAGTCATTTAGTTTCCAGCCTGGACAGTGGTTGTTAATTTATTCTGTCATAATTTTTTTCATAAATCTAATCTTTCTATTCTAATCTTTCTTCAAAAACCCAAGCTCTTCCCCAAAAAAAGATTAAACATAAGATTATCTATAATAATTAAATGAATAAATATATATTTATATGTTTTTTTAAATTAGTAGATTGAGCAATCAATCTACTTAATATAGGTCCATGATTTTACTCAAATCAATGACTTTATTAAATGCAGTTTATTCATTATATTTTTGGCAAATATGAATTATATATGAATAATTAAAAATTAAAGATTTATGAACTTAATTTTGACATAATTTTATTCTAGGGTGGATTTCTTCATTTCTGGATTGGATAAAATAGCGGGCTACTCCATATGCACCTCTCCAGAATATTTCATTGAAACTAATCTAATTGAGCTTGCTGTCAAGTATTCTATCTATCCCCCAACTTTGTGGGTCCATGAGGAAGTTTGTTTTGTCTTTATTTTATTTATTTGTCTTTGTTTTTCTTTGCTGAATTTTTTTTTTCCCTAATTAGTGTAAAATAGGCAGCCAGGTGGACATTGCGGTTGGAGGACAGTTTTTCTTCAACAGTTCTGTCTACTTAAGAAGTCTAACTTCCTCCCCAGAAAAAGATCACAAAAATAGAAAAGGTAATCTTCTTTTGATAGCCGGGGGCGTAGGAATCAATCCCATAATTTCAATCCTCAGGCATGTTGTTAGGAATTCAAGTGTACTTGAAAATAAAATGAATGTTTTGCTGCTGTATTGTGCCTCCGATGAAGATGAATTAATATTTAAGGTCCGATCTTTGATGTACTAGTTTCTGTTTTATTATCTTTTATTTATCTATTTAATAAAATAAAACGAATGAATGAACGAATGAATGAATGAATATGCAACCGAATGAATGATTTAGTAACAAGGGCGTTTGTTATACACAATTGCACTTGCTAAATAAATCACATTAAATAAATAATTAAAAAATGAATTATCCATTATTATTATTACTATTAAATAATTAAAATAATTTGTTATTGTTACTATTATTTTTATTATTGTTTTATTCTAAAATTAGGACGAAATATGTGACCTAGTTTCTAGAAACAGTTTGACAAGTTGCGAGTTTATAGTAACAACGCTGGAGCCTATGGTAGAACGCTCAGCTTGCATGTCACCTGGAATATCTTACACAAGTTTGCAGAGCCAATTGTCGTAAATATTATCGCTGTTGTGGTAATTAATGCTATCATCCATGTTACCATTGATAGCTAACTGAATTGTTGATCAATTCATCGAGTAAATCATTATACACAAATGTCTGTCAATATTTATTAAATAAAATTATGTAATAATAAGCTAAAGATTATAGTTTATTAGTAAATTTAAAATAGTTCAATAGCAAATTAATAATAATTACAGCATGATTCATGATCTAATAACTAAATTTTTCAAACTTAACACCCAACCAAAAAATTCAGAGAGCCAACGCCTAAACGAGGATTCTTTAAAAATGAGGATAGAACGCCGTTTTAATAGGGATGCGCTGGATGATCTAACCTGTTATTTATGCGGACCCAACGAGATGATTGACAGCCTGAGTGGGGCCTTGTATAAGTTAGGCTTGCCACAAGATAGAGTCTTGTACGAGAAATGGTGGTAGTTTTTAACATCAGTGATGTCATTATTATTATTTGTTTTACTTGTTATTATTTTAATAGTAGTAATATTAATGGTAGTAGTAGTAGTAGTAGTAGTAGCAGCAGTTCTGGTAGTAGTAGCAGCAGTTCTAGTAGTAGTAACAATAACAGCAAAATAAAGTTTGCCAGTTTTAATTCTAACTACAAAGTAAAGCACTAAATAAGTAGCAGTGCTAGTATAGTTGAATATATTATTAAAATACGTATCAATGATAATTACTACTGAACAGCAGTATTTGTTGTTGAATGAGTCGTTCTATACGTATTTAACATCATACCACAAATTAGTAATAGCGTTTTTAGCAGCAGCAGCAGTAGCAGTAGTAGTAGTATTAAGTATTCTAGGATGAGTATTACGCTAGTAACCATTAAGAAAGGTATAGTAACTGAATCGTTAATAACTGCACTAGAATTACAGTAGTGGTAATATCAGTTAGTAACCATTAAGAAAGGTATAGTATTTTACACGGGTGAGGTATTAGGAATATTGAGAAAGGAGCGTTCGTTTAATTATTCTTTGTGTATGTAATAATTTATTATTAAATACGTATGGAATTATTTATTATTCTTTATTATTCCTTTGACGTTTTCAAGAGCCATTTCTGGTTGAGATCATTTTTCATTGAATTGAAGTTTACTTCCATTTGTACGTTTTATATTCTTTTTTTTTGGTTGCCAATAATCATGTTGAGAACTTTCCAATTAAAAGATTCGCTTACATACATTACATATTATATAATTATATATATATATTGGGTTAAGACTGTTAGAATATATATATACATATAAATGAACTATTTGAAACAGTTGCAGGTTAGAAGATAATAACATTTATATATATAGCCGTATAAGACCATGGATATAGATATATATATAATATATATATAATATATCCATGTATAAGACAGTTTTTTCCTTATGAAAGTTTATAGCCATCTGTTTATTAAATCTTAAACAATTGAATAAGATTACTGAAAATAATATCGGTGAATGGTGATTACGGCTGACTAAGAATGACGAGGATGATAAAAATAATGATAGTCTAAGGATAGATAAATCAGCGAGATAAAAAGATATAATACTATGGATGATGGCTATAAGAGATAGGGTATATTTCTTCATTCTTTCTCGTGCCTTATCCTTTCAGGACATTGGCATATAGGATATATTAATGAATTTAAAAAGTTCACTCACGTGTCAATTACTTAATTACTCGAATAATTACTCAATTACCTATCGATTGCTAAACTGACTAAGCGTTCCTAAATTTCGGCATTTTGAAAATTTTACTCTCCGGAGCTATCACGTGATTTCCTCTGGCGTAATAAAATTTAAATTTATTAGGCAGTATCTGTAGTGTTAGTGGTGTCATCAGTTCAAACTGTTCGCTGTCTATTATGAACTTTCTGTCTGCTATCTGGAGTGGGGTGTGTTAGGAAGGTGAAAATTATGATTTTTGGTAATAATTATTTATAATATATATATAAATTATGTTATTATTTTATAATATAATGGTCTTTAATCATTATTATGCCTGATCAATAAACTGAATCAGCTATAATATTCTAGTACGTTGTTGGTTATATTATTGTCTTTAGTCATTGTAGAAATAATTGATCATCTTATTAGAAGCTTTAATCATTATAATTGTCACACCTAATTAGTAAATCGATTGATTAATTAATTATCACACCTAATTAGTTAATCGATTGATTAATTAATTATCTAATTAATCACATTTTGGCATTATTTAACAGATTTAATCAGCTAAATAAATGCCTTTTTTAGCAGCAGTAAAAAGTCCTACTACTAACATCATTCGGTAAGTTCATGGTTAAGCTTGCTACATTAAGATGTATGTCTTTATCATCATCTGTATCGTTTCCATCTTTTTTGAGATATATATCATTCCTGTTACCGTCGTCGTTGTTGCTGATCGTCGCAGTATCATTTGTATCCTCTGGATTTTTAGATATCCTTTTCCATCTGTTGGGGAATAATGATGATGATGTTGAGTGATATTATTGATATTACACTTAAAATAATTATATTAATAATATTAATTATTATTACAATTACATAGGTTATAATTAACTATATATATATATATAATTAACTTATAATTAACAAATTTTTGTTACCCTTTTTTGATGAAATCGCTTTTTGTAATGTCATTGGATGTCAGTTTCACGTCAAGGGAATTTGCCTAAATGAGGTATCAAATTAGTTTAATAATAACAATAATGATTATAAACAATGTTATTAATTTTAAATTTTTTAAAACTCGTAAATTTTAAACAATATCTATCTGGCTAGACCGATTGACTGATGTTCTTAAAGAACGACTTAAACTATGTATAGAGAAGATATAAGCAATAATAAAACATTAATAGCAATAGAACAACAATCACGATGACAATAATAAATTGCTCTCAGGACCGGCTTACTTTACGGTTAGCAAATGCATCTAAATGGCAGAAGTTAACGTTGGTGTCCTTAACAACGCCACATTGTTCATTGACGACGTCCGTATAATCCTTTTCTAGAACTTTCCATTGATAAATCAATCAATCAATAAATCAATCAAGCCATCAGTCATTCGACTTATTGAAAGCGTAACGGCAACAAATAACTGCTACTAACAACAGAAAATAATATCCCTGATGTAATAGTACAATAGTAAAACTATTAATGGAAACAATAGTAAGAACCTAAATGATAATAATACCCTTAAGACCATACGCACCTTTATGCTGGGGCCTAATAAATATATTCCACCACCGATATTCGATCTTTTTAGGTAGTTCTTTGCACCTGTTACAGCCCTGACACGGAACTGTGTAGTGAAAAATGATGTTTGAGAACTTAAGTTCATTTTTCCAATGTCGCACGGCCGTTATGACGTAACAGAGTCTATCTTTGAGGGGTCCAAAGTACCAATTCCTAATTTCAGGTAGAGTTTGAGAGAATTATTGTGATTAGTGAAAATGTTGGGCTAGATAATAATAATAATCTTTTACAGTAAAATTATGAAATCTAAGTGAATATAGTTAGCATTGTCATTAGCGAAATTAGTGAACAATGAGTGAATCTTAATGAAATAATAGTAATTATAATGGTAATAATTACTTTACTAAATACAAAAAACCTTTTTTTCCTGATTTCAGAATCAGAAAATAAGCCAAGAGACACATTAGAGACTGCATAGACTGATTTGTCATCCCCGCCCTTTCGTAATTATCATTTAAAACATTATAGTTATAATTATTTTTATAATTACCATTATAGTTGCGATAATTATAGTTATTAATACGATAATTATTGAATTCGACCTTGACATTGAGGGCGTCAACATGCTTGAGGCCACCGCTGACACTGGACAGGGTCATCTCCGCTATGAACCTTCAATTCGAGATAAGGTGAATAATAATAAAATATTAATTAATAAATAATAATAATATAATTTTTAATAAATAAAAAAAATAAACAAACGGCTTACTGAACAGTATTATGCACTGATGGCAGATATAATGTCCTCGCCAGAGTGTTAGTCTGACCAAGTGGTACAATGCATATAGGAATGCTTGAGAATGTGGGCTAGGGTAAGTTAATTTATTCAATCAATCAATCAATCAATCAACTAACGATTCAATTAATCAGTCAACAATTCAATCAATTAATCTTTTAATAAACTATCTGTCCAATTATCAATCTAACTAGCCTACAAATAATTAATTAATTAAATAACTAAACAATCGTTCAGTCGATCATTTATTCATTCAACTACTCGATCAATCAATTAGTAAATCAATCATATAACCACTCAAACCACCAATCAATCATACAATTATAGAAGCAACTAATAACCAATCCTAAACTAGCTCAACCAACTGACCAATCACACAGTCGACCACCAAATCAACAGCCAATCAGCAAACACCACCTCATCAGCCCTTTTCATAATCCCGGTAACAACTTCTGACAGGGTTCCATCGCCCCCGGCCACAATAATGGCGTCTGCTTTCTCGACGGTCTCCATCATTATTCTCTTCGCCTGGCCTTCCGACTGAGTCTTGATGGTAACAAAATAATCAGAATTATAACATTAAAAATATTATCAGTAGACCATGCAATCGACATGCAGACCATACAAATACAATAAAAATAGATGGATAAACGAAAGAATGAATGAATGATAAAGTAAATGAATGAATAAATAAATGAATGAAAAATAAATGAATGAATAATGGAAGAAAAAGCAATCAGATGTCATGCTGACTTACAACGTGTAAGGCCACTTCCATGCCAGCAAGATTTAATATAGGAGCCACATTTCTTTCATACAAGGCTCTGCCTTTTCTTGAAGGGAGAAAATTATTATAGAATATACAAAATTATTCATATATTATAATAATTTATCATAATTTATTCATAATTATTGAGAATTTATTCAGAATTACCCTTTGTTGGCAGCTGGATTTAGAATGACCACAACCCTTTTTGGCCTGTTTGTACTCTTCAACATCAAGTCTCCATATTTCTGAATAATTTAGTAAGTGAATGAGTGAATGAATACATGAAAAAATAAATAAGTGAATGAAAAAACAGATGGATGAATGAATGAATAGAATATATGATTGGACTGAGTGGATAAAATATGATAAATAAAAAATACTTTTGCTTCTGTGCAGTACATCTTCATTAGATTCCAATCCCTGGTTGAATTAATTTTAATAATAGTAAAAAATTAATTATTTAATTTGTCTTATTCTTATCTAATCTATTTATTTTTTATTACTGCTAACTTTTTAAATTTGGTAAATTTTATAATTTTTAACTTTATTATTCATTAAGCAAAATTGAAGAAGATGAATTAATTATTTTTATAATAATTAAATTTATTTTGAAATTTAAATAAACACCTTTAGGCTCTATAAGTCAATTAGTAGTCTCTCCTAACTAATGATTAGATTCTAAATCTAATATAATAATTCACCAAATAAGTCAAAATTAGATTCACACCTAAATCCCCCAGTCTTAAACAAAATTATTAAATTAATATAAAAATAGGTAAAAAAAAGTAACAGAAACTATAAGCATAACTGAATTCAACCTCCATCTTTGATCAGCGTATTTCAGGCCCCAGGCGCCGATCGCCGTAGCGAATAAAGACTTTTTCCAGTTATTTCTTACAGTTCTGATAATGTTCATTTTATTTTTTTAATTTTTTTATTCAATTAATTAATTATTCAAACGATTTTTGTGAAAATTAATTTAATTTTTTTGGAATCATGAGACTTTTTTACTGTTTGAGCGATATATGATAACCGAAACAAAAAAATTAAAAGTGAATTGTAGTTTTAAAGTTAGTTTTTCTTTGGTGTACCAACTTTTTTAATACTAACTTAACGAACCATTAGAAATGCATGTACAATAGAAACTGTACAGTGAATTGCTTGCCGTTCAATCAATCAATCAATCAAAAAACCTCTTCAAATAATTAAATGCTCTATTTCCGGGTGTTTAAGCCACGTTAGTATAAATTTTAAATTTAATTAACATGTTAAACAATTATGAATTTGTTAATTTATTAACTCAATTTTAATTTTTTTATTTATTAATAATACTTAGTTAGAAGACTTAAAAATTAAAAAGTAAAATTAAAAAGGAGTGCTAAGTTAAGACTTAATTTAATAAACTAGGAGAAAGAAGTAGTAAGTAAGACGATCATATAATTTCAGATTTTCCTAGTTATTTCCTGACTGGTTATTGATCAGTCTGAAGCTCAGATGTTAGAAATTACTTTTTTTTTAATTAAGAAAATGTACTCTCAATCAAAGAGATGACACCTGGGGTTTCATTTCACTTTATTTTTCTCAAATAAGTGATGCTACTTAAATCTCAGTACAAAGTACATATGTTGTACTGTACCAGATACAAAATTGGATGTGATATTAAAATAAAGTTTAATTAATATTAAATATAATATAGATAGAATCACCTTGATTGAATGAACTTTAGAATAATTAGCAGTTAGTTAATTTAATATACAACTTGAATGGTTCATTAATAGCTTGATTGTTCATAATTAAATTATTAATAATTCATTCATGTATGTTTGTATGTATGTATGTATGGATACATGCATGTATGTATGTATGCATATATGTATGTATGTATCTAAGGATGTATGTATGTATGCATGTAGGTATGTATGTATGATAACACCTGGGTTTTTACATCACAGAATGATGTTTCCACTATATCTGGGTAAAAGTAATTAGTAATTACCTATGTCTGGTTTCTTCTACAGTCTTTTAATGTTTTTGAGAGAAAGAGAGAGAGAGATTGAGAAAGGGACAGAAAGAGAGAGAGAGAGAGGAGATATATATATATATATATATATATATATATATATATATATATATATATAGGAGATATATATATATAAATATATAGATGAAAGAAAGAGAGAGAGAGAGAAAGTGACAGAGAGAGAGAGTGAGAGAGAGAGAGAGAGGATATATAAATACATAGATAATAGATGTTCAAAAAATTGTATGAGCTTGAGTTTAGCTTCCTCTTTTTTGCCACTATTTCTATAAGGTCTTAATTAAATATTTCTCTTTCAATTATAACCACACTTGAATAAATTTAATATTCATATTATTATATATTATAGTTATAATATTATAATATTATAGTTAGTAATAATAATAAATTATTGTAATAATATTTATTTTTATTTATCTTTTTGCAGTTGTTAGAATTCCAATACAAAAATTCATCAACTATTCCACGAAGATTGTTGCATCATTGGCAGGTAGCTAGCTGAAGTACATTATCTAATTAACGATTAATTAACTAATTAACTATGGAACTTAATCAAATAATTATTTAATGAAATTATTTTTTTGGTAGAGGCCATGACGAGCACGAAGACGAGGCCCGTTGTGTTTTGTGGGCCATCGGGTGCTGGAAAGAGTACCCTACTTAAGAAACTAATGAATGAATACCCCAACTGTTTTGCTTTCAGCGTTTCACGTAAGATAACTAGCTGTCGGTTTTTATATCTCCCTCTCTCTCTCTCTTTCTCTCTCTCTCTCATTCTTTTTTTCTTCATAATTATTAGTATATTTATATATATTTTTTTATTTAAATATCAATTATTTAAAAGATACCACAAGGCACCCGAGGCCTGGTGAGGTCCATGGGAAAGGTTTGATGATGATGATGATGATGATGATGATGTTTATATACCTCATGATGATGATCTTCATGATGATTATAATGTTTATATACCTCTTGATGATGATCTTCATGATGATGATAATGATGGTGATGATGACGACGAAGATTGTTGCATAACTGGTTATATATTTTCACGCATCAATTAAATCATCATTATTATGCCATCGTCGTCGTCGTCATCATCTTCATCGTCATCATCATCAGATTATTACTTTGTGTCTGTGGACGAGATGAAGAAAGGCATAGATGAGAAACTTTTCATTGAATATGCACAAACCTACGGAAATTATTATGGGACGAGGTACGTTCTCTCTCTCTCTCTCTCTCTCTCTCTCTCTCTCTCTCTCTCTCTCTCTCCCTCCCTCTTTTTTATTTCATTCTTCTCTTTCTCTCTCCTCTTTTTTTCTATTTTTTTCTATCTTCTGTCTCAATCCATATTATTATCACTCCATTCTTTTTTTTTCATTCCGTTTTTCACTCAATCATACTCTATCAATCACACATTTTCGTTTCATGCACTCAAACATATTTATTCTTTTATTCATTCATTCATTTATTCATTCATTCATTCATTCAATCATTCATTCATTTATTCATTCATTCATTTATTCATTCATTCATTTATTCATTCATTCATTTATTCATTCATTCATTCATTTATTCATTCATTCATTTATTTCAATTTTCTCTGTTTCATTTTTTTGTCGGCAATTCCGACAACAGCTTAAAAGCCATAGAAGACATATCATCGTCGGGAAAAATCTGCGTCCTTGACATTGACACGAAGGGCGTGGTCAGTGTTAAAAATAGCCCTCTCTGCCCTAGTTACATATTCATAAAGCCGCCTTCTTTCGAAGACCTGGTCAGCCACAGCTGCTCAAATTATAAATTATCATAAATTATGATAAATATGTCGTTAAATTGACGAATAATAATGAATCATGATGAATATTTATCAGTGGTGATGGCGATAAGTACTATAGTATTAATATTAATGTATAATAAGTAATAATAAATAACATTAACGAGCGCTTGCTTTTGATGGTTCTGAAAGTTACTAAGGAGAAAGTTTACGAAAATATCCAATATTATATAATAATAAACATAATTTGTGTTAATTTATGCAAATTTATTCATAAAAGCGAGATAGGCTGGTAACTAGAGGCACTGAGACTGAAGATTCGTTGAAGAAGAGGCTGGACTTGGCCAACGAGGAGATGAAATTCTGTTAGCTATAACTACACAAACTGCTATATTTATTTTTAATATAATAATAATAATAATATTTCCAATTAGTTTTATTTTTTATCTTTCGTTTCCTATTTCGGCGAGTGAGTGAGTGGGATATGTTTCCATCGCATGCTGAATTAATTAATTAATTATGGTTATTATGGTATTTGCAATTGTGGCTGAGCTGTTTTAATGAGAAACTTTTCTCAACTGCCAGGCGAAATTCCAGGTATGTTTGATTTGGTGGTGGTCAACGATGACATCGAGAAGGCCTATAGCTCCATTAAGATGTTCCTACAAAAAGTTCCTGCTTTCGTTTATCACAGTTCATTCATTCATTCATTCGTTAATTCATTTAGTTATTCTTTTTTTTACTTGCTCGTTCATTCATTTTCATAAATGTTTAGGACATAGAAGCAGTGCTGGAAAGCCAAAATTTTACATAAGTCCCCTTTTAGTGGCGTCGCAAATAATGATGATGATGAAGAAGAAGACGATGCTGATGATGATTGGGATGACGGTGAAGAAGAAGAAGATCATGATGATGACATATCTGTGGGAAAGATATTTTTCATTTTCGTAGAGCTTTGCCATGTTAGGCCAGTCTAATTCCACAACCAGCATATCACCATTATCATCAATGTTACATTATTAATTATTATTATAATTATTTTAGTCATTATTATTGTTATTAATTTTATTTATTCATCTATTTTTATCGCCAATATATTGCCACCAATACCAAACCACTATCATCATCATCATCATTCCTGTTATTATTATTATTATTATTATTACTACTACTAGTAGTAGTAGTAGCAGTAGTAGCAGCAACAACAGCAGCGGCAGTAGTAACAGTAGTAGTTGTAGTAGTATCATCATTATCAGCACCACCTTTAACATCATTATCATCATCAATGTTGAAATCTCTACGTAAAATAATATTCAAGTGCATTTTTTTTTGTAAAAACGTCATCCGTGTATACATTCACATGCGCACACACATACATCCGCGCGCACACACACACACACACACACGCACATAAATATGTATGTAATAAGTTAGGAGATTGCTTTATCGTTTCAACGTGTTGACAACATATTATATTTATAGGCAATTGGCATATATACATACATAGGGTTGTTTTTTTTTGTGGTTTAATAAACGAACGAACGAATGAATGATTGATTGATTGATTGATTCGATTGTTAATTAATTAATTCATTCATCGAGTAAATGAATGAATCATCGATGACGAAAGAACGATTGATTGATTGATTGATTGATTGATTGATTGATTGATTGATCGATCGATTGATTGATTGATTGATTGATTGATTGATTGATTGATTGATAGATAGATTGATTGATTGAACGAACTAATGAATGAGTGAATGAATAGCAATTATGTCTTTTTTCGTGCTGTCTTCTCTTCATTTTCTATAGTTATTTATATATTTATTTGATGTAACATTCTTACAATCAATAAAGAATTTTTTGAAATTTTTATTAAATTAAACAAAAACATAAAATAATTATAAAATTTACAATAATAAAATAATAAAAAATCAAAATGCTTAAACGAAGTGATTGAATATGACGCAATTAACGATGCATGATTTGATAATGTATAAGGATATGTCTTTGAGTCTATGTGTTTGTTTGTTTGTGTGTGTGTGTGTTTTGTTTGTATGTATGTGTCTGTGTGTTTTTTGTTTGTATGTATGTATGTGTTTGTTTGTATGTACGTGTTTGTGTGTTGGTTTGTATGTTTGTGTGTTGGTTTGTATGTATGAGTCTGTGTGTTTGTTTGAATGTATGTGTTTGTCTGTATATATGTTTCTTTGTGTTTGTCTGTATGTTTGTCTGTATATATGTTTCTATGTGTTTGTCTGTATATATGTTTCTATGTGTTTGTCTGTATATATGTTTCTATGTGTTTGTCTGTATATATGT